CCAGATGTTCACAAGACAAACTACAGTTTTCAAGGGCAGAAAGAAAAGAAAAATACTCATTTTTCAGCAGCATAATGCATAAGTCTTCCATGTATTCCTCCTCATTTACTTATGTTTCATCCCTAAACCTTCTATATGATATTAGTCTTGTAGTAATCCGTAGCCCTCAATAATAAGATCAAAATAACGTTATTATCCACGCAAGTAGGATAAAAGAAAGCATGTATCATTGCTTCCCAATACGGCAATACAAGCCAATTTTTCTTTGAGCATTGATTTTGTAATCTCATTCTTACATTAAGCGTGACTTTCAACTTCCATTTGAAATATGACTTTTGTGGTCATTCATCAAACTCCTCCATTTAAATTTACATTCTCTGCATTCTGCTTGGTAAACCTCAGTCACACTTTCATCAAAACTTCCAGGTATACTATAATTTTTGGAGCTATGTACCCTCAAAAAAAGTCTTCAAACAAATATATTATTCTTTACCATCAAAAGGAAGCTAAAACTTCTAACTAAATGATTACGAGAACACACACTCTGCAACCTCATGACAAAAGAATGCAGACCCTCAAAACCATTTCAGATTTTTTTTATCCTCCTCATTCATCTCGTGTGTATATGCTCCTAATATATTCAGAGCTACATTGAACAGGTTCAGAATTAGGAATAAATAGTTATATCCATAAAGTCACAAAATATTTATCAAGAAATAAAATAAAGATAAATATTTAATTATGGACTACTTATGATAGAAGAATGGTATCGGATAATAAACAATGCAGCGGATGACAGAGTAGTTATTTTCCCTAGCCACTTGCATAATGGCATATAAAATCAGACAATATACTTCATTTATTTATTTATTTGCGCCATCTGATAGATCTTTTTGAGCAAAAAATTGCAAACCAAGTACATGTAATAATCATGGCCCGAGGACATCGTGACATTATCAAGCCATATTTTTCAGAATAAACTCCATATTACTCCACATATTTAGAAAAAAATTCTATATCTTATGTTATAAGCTGGATAGTGGTAATCCGAATTTTCTTTGGAATGTTGTAGAATAGGCAATTGAGCAGTATGAAGAATGAAGTTCTATGAGGAAACGCAAGACTCATGAAAAACAATTATAAAGGAAAACCAAAGATGAAAACTCCAGTTGAAATGAACTTCAGTGCAAATTCTTTATTTAGGAAGGTATAGACCAGGATTATACAGCATGATTATGAAATAGGATGCATGAATTTATTGAAAAATTAAAGTCAAACATTAAGTTGTTTGCTTCATATGCCAACAAACGAAAAGATTCTTTGAAAGTCCATAGGAAAACAAAAAAAGGCTAAAGAAGTATCGAAGATTGACTCATTATATTTAGGCTTAGCATTATATGGCATCACAATCTGATGCCTTCGAATAGAAGAAGCTGAGAATGATCTAGTGACAGAAAGCATCCAATAGAGACACCGCAAAGAAAAATATAAGTTAGAAAATGCGAGCCAAAATTGTTCTTATCTGCAAGCCAGAAAGAATAAAATCTAATGGAGCCATATGCATAACTCCAATAGTACCGAAAGTAATTAAATAGAAGTAGATCTCGATACAAGAAGTTTACTAAAAAAGAAAGAGTGAAGAAGGAAGACATTACCAATTAATGATGATAGAGGCTGATGTTTTGCTCCAGTTACACAAAAAAAATTCGCTTCCAATTTTTAAGCGAATCTGCAAGAAAGTGAAGCCAAGTGACCAAAAGATTGAAATTTTGGTGACGACATATAGTGAAAACACAGTCCAACATCGTTTTCCCTATTAAAATATGAAGAGAGCAAAAAATGAAGAATATTATACAGCCAAACCTCTCTATAACAGCCTAATTCGTTCCGAATTGTTTTGGCTACTATAGTGATGTGCTGTTATAGAGGACATATATTATAACATATTATAATATTCGGTTCCGAGAATAACTCGGGTTTTATATTTGAAGCAGATATTTTGGATCAAAATTTCTAAATATTCTACAAAAATGTCTGATAAACTAACTATAGAAGGAGTAAAACATCTCATTAATTCAAGCATTGTTCTTGATTGACCATACTGCAAGGTTTATAATATATAAACCTGACAAAAAATGTTTCAAGGAAATTTAAATGGGGACTACCGAAGAGTTTGAATAATAAATTATCAGTGATAATTATTATGCTCCTATCAAATTATTTAACTCTTCCACAGACAATTCTAATTAGCAAAAAATCAATCTTTAATCGAGCAAATATATATATATTTTTGGTTATGAGAAATCCAACTTAAGCCAATACACAAATTGCCAAAACGTAATAATTGGTGAAAAGGGTGCCGTTTGCACATTGCATATACCATGAAACGAATAAATAGAAAAAGAGTGTACCTTCTCGAAATCTATTGAAGGATCCATGGTGCAACCTAATTGTGGCTTTTCGCTATTGCTGGTCCTTTTTATGTTCTCCTTTGCTATTCAATGATGATTATAATGAACGTTAGTATGCCTTGAATTTTAAGCATTATTCCGTAGGTTCATCGCTAATTACAGATCTTTAATCGAAGAGAGGGAAGAGAGATTAATGTTCGAAATTGCCATAATAATTAATGAAAGGAAAAAGACACGGTTTGGTTGAATTTGATCGGCTGCCATTATCAACGAAGGAAGTAGAAACGGTTTGTTTAAGAAGGTTAATCGGTGGCTTTTCTTTGGGTTTTATTGGTTAATTAATGAGGTAATTGGGTAAAATATTGGAGAAAATCCCATAAAACGGAGAAAAATGGAAAAGGCAATTGCTTGTCAATGAGTCATGCCACGTCACCGGGCTTATGGCCCTGGATTATATAATTATATAGATTTACAAGGAATTGTCTTAGATATTTTTATTACCATCTTTTTTTCTCTAACTTCTATAAAATATTTTTTTTAAAAAATCCGCTGGGCCCACTTAGCCCGTGACCATTAGTTCGTGGGCCCGGTCTCCGGCCGATTCCTACAAAAGGACCACCGAGACCGGGACCGCGAAGCCCGTTTAAATTGCGACCGGCTCGGGACCGGGATCGGCCCACTTAGCCCACTTAGGCCCGGGACCGGCCCACATGCCACCTTTAGTGGTAGGTCATGGTTTTTGCACCTTTAAGGCGGGTAATTTTTCACTTAAAAATTTTTGTCTTTATTTTACTGTTTAGTCTATTTGCGTAAGGAATAAGATAAAAAATCAAGTTCTTTAGTAATTTAAGAAGACACTTAAATTAACACCATCTGATTTAGATGAATATCAATTTGCCTTTCAAGAATATTTTAACTCCAACTTTCATACAAATGTTGTGGCTTAAGGCAAATAATTGAAACTCTTTCAATGGATGAATAAATTTCTTGTAAAACTTCGTACGTTTCTGATTATCCGTATTGGCATGAAGGATGATGAAAAAATAAAGCTATAATGCGTGTATCAGCAAATGTGTTATTGAAGTGACCAGACATGCGCCTAGTATATATCTCTCTCACAACTAAACACAATAGTGTTCCAGTATAATATGCTACATATTAGAAATCTTACCATGTGAATATTGCTATGAAGTTACAAAATAAATATTGAGTCAGAATTTTTATTAAAGGAACTCAAAATATAAAGAATTAAAAATACATAAAAATTAAGAGAATTTAACATATAATATATATACATTCATTTTTTTTGTCTAACTATACAGTATAATTTTTTAGGCGAATTGACACCTCTTAAACAAAGGTGGTTCCACCACATTAACTACCTACCGGTGTACCTATCTAGTGGTATATTCTATTCACTGTCAAGTGCAAGGTTTAGTGTTTAGGGTTTAATTATTAAGTTGCTTATCAAGGTATTCAAAAAACTTTGCTATTGTATGAGTGACGATATAAATTCTCTTATATTTTGGAGAATAATCCGCATATAGTTTATTCTTCGATACGTCTTTTCAATTTGGATATTGGAATTGAATTGATGACGACACATTTTTATGGTTGAGTAATTTTCACGCATCCATTTATGAAATTATAGAGCGAATTTGGCCTTTGTTCCGGTCGTTAAAAAGAAATAGGCCACTAATACTCAGTCTTTACATGTTGGAAAGATAAATTGCTAATCTGTCTTCATTCCTTCCTTGGATCGTCTTAAATTATTCCGTTCATTTCAATTTATACGATTTATTAGTCTGTTAAAAAATATCTTTACATTGTTAAAAAAATTAATTTTAAATTTTTTATCTTACCTACTTTACCTGAATGGAAAACTTTATTATACAATTTTTATAGTCCCACAAATTATTTATGTTTTACGCTTTTAGACCACAAGTTTTAAATATTCTTTTCTTTTTAATTAATGATAAGGGTGTTCATGGTTCAGTTTGGGTCGGTTTTCGTCTAAAAAGAAATCAAACCAATTAAGTCGGTTATTCAAATACTAGAACTAAACCAATCCAATTAACTCGATTTTTATAGGTTCGATTTATGTTGGTTTTAGTCAGTTATTTCGGTCTTTTTTCGATTTTTTTCTTCTTAAATATGAGACATTTGCCGAGCACATATGTCGCCGACTATTCTAACACAACATTATCAAATCAAATAATCTTTAAGAAAAATTACCTTTTATCAAAATATATTGATAATATATAATTGAATTAAATAGTGATGAGTAATTTAAGGATTCAATTAAAAATAATTTAATTTTAACATGAAATAAATTCTTGAACTTAGCAAAATAAAACTACCATCGAACTAGAATGTAAAGGTAACGAATTTGATTATTATAATGATAAAGAACTAGATTACCAACTAAGAGTGCAAACGGTTAAATATCTACCATAAATATTTAAAACTTTTATATGTATGTATAATAATAAAATTTTAAGTATTTTTATAGTCAGTGTTTTCGATTATTTTTTGTTTAAAATTTAAACTAAATCAATTGATCGATTTTAAAATTCAAAACCAAAACTAAATCAAACCAAAATATTATCGGTATTCGGTTTCTCATGAACACCCCTAATTAACGGAGATTGAAACGGAGAGTAATTTGGTATTTCTCTATAGATAATCCACCATCATGCCCGAGTCTGACCCACAACCCTCTTCATCTTACCCGATCCATACCCACAACAAGAGCCCAGGAAACTAAGCTTATCTTGAGAAAGAAGAGCTCTGTAAACTGTTATAACGGTAATAGTAATAATAGTGCAGTTAGCTCCCATGCTACATTTCTTGAATTCCCATTGGATACATTTGAAAATTTACTTTATAATGCTTTCTTGCTTTGCTTGTGTTTTCTGGGTATAGGTTTTCAGACCTTTGTTGAATAATAAAGCTGAGTTATCAAGGAATTTCATTGATTAAACCTATATATATATATATATATATATATGCCACTAACCAGTGTTAAAGGTTGGTGAATTTGCTTCAATTCAATTGCTTTTGCATGCTCTACTGGGTCCCACCTTCACTTAGTGTTTGATAATTATCTCCACCAAAAACCTCAATTTTCAAAACATTAAAAAAAGGTTTGGCATAGGTAATTGGTGATGGAACACCAACAGAAACAGTTGGAGCAGCGGGTGTAGTAGCATTAACAACAACATTAGTAGCGTTATTCTCTATAATAATAACGTGGAAGTATTTTTAAGATTGTTGGAAAAATATTGAATTATGGAGAATAAGATTTAGCTTGAGGCGTGTCAAGGACACTGTCCTTAAGAATATTTCGTTCACACCGGGATGAATAAAATTAGACGTATTTTTCAGGATACAACAAGCTCTTCTAGTATAAACTAGGAGCAGAAACAACAAAGATTAACAAAGACAAACCAACACAACAGAAGAAAAGTTTTTAACTTTGTTCTTTTTTTTTTGGTTACCCCTCCAAATAAACAAACATATGCTTATATATGAAATCCAAAAAGGACATCTGATTGTTGGCAAGAAAACGTAAGAAACTAAGGCCATTAAGGCTCTTAAAAATTGAAAGAAACGTTCAATTGAATTCAATGGTCAGATTGAAACGTTCCACACTAATGAGCATTCAATGGTCAGATTATTTTGTCCCAATTGAATTCAAAATTAAACTAATTTTCTGTTACAAATATATTTAAAATAATTACTATAATAAAGACTCGCTAATATAATAGTAAGAAAATGAATCTAGACATAGTTTTGGAATATTTCTTTTTGAGATATTATATTTTTCTATCATTTATAGGCTAGGGTCGGAGTCTACCGAGTGGGGAGCGTTTAACGCGCACTGGCAGGGGCGGAGGTAGAGTGTGGGATAGGGGTTCAGCCGAACCCAGTAACTTTTGTTCAAACCATGTATTTGTCTTACGAAATTCATTGAATATGTACACTTATTAATTTAGAACCCAGTAACTTAAAATGATTACAATTCCGAACCCATAAGATTCAAATCCTGGCTCCGCCTCTGCGCACTGGGAAAGGGTCCAGGTCCCCGAGCTCGCGAGGCGTGGCTCCTGGCCATCTCCGATTTTCACCTTTTCGTGCTCTTTTTGTGTATTTTCGGCACCCTTTTGTGCAACCTTCACTCGTTTTCTTCTTCCAATGATCATACACATAAAAACGACACAATTAAGCCCAAACGTCGCACATATTATCATTAAAACACCAAAATGTAAGACATGTAATACACTAAAAATGTATATTCATAGCCAATTATCAAATATAAACCTGTTAAGTTGTAGGGATGGAATTGAAGCTTACAATGCTCTAGATACTGCGGTGTGTGTGGTGATTTTGAAGCATTATGTGATATTCTTGTTTAGGTACTTGTACATCTAAATTGAATTTTGGCCTTAATTGTTATCGTCTAATTTGTTAAGTTTCATTCATATGCTCACGTTTGGAGGTATTTGTGACTATCTGTTCTAGATCCTTTGTTTCATTTCATGCAAAACAGTTTACAAGAAGGATAGTTGCGAGTTGGACCTCTAATGTTTGTTTATGTGAAAAGGAGAAAAGGAAGAAATTGGGGTTTTAGCTGCTTTTTGTTCTGTTTTCAAGAATATTATTCCCTGGAGAACATGTTTGCTGCTCAATTACTTCCAAAAGGGGTGAAGCTGGAAATTGTGGATATACTTGTATTCTATTTTTCTTACTTTGCTCTCAAGTCTCAACTGTAACTTGCCGGCGGTTCATAAAGTAGTGGCCAAGCAAGCATTCATGCCTTGTGATGCAGTAGCAACTATCCAGATTTCCATAGTTTTGCATCCAAATTCCTTGAACCATCCACTCACCTCTGTGAATGTCATGTTCTGTCTTACAAGTGATGTTAAGATTTCATGGCTCTTTATCTCAAGTTCCTTCCCCAGTCCCCACTCGTCATCCCTGAGTCCTGATCTTCAAAAGATTCAACAGGAAATTCTAAATGATAGCTCTTCCGCCTTTTTATATTCTTCCATTCATAAGAGAAGCAGAAGATTATTGTTTTAAGAAATCAGGATCGGAGGGATGTAGTGAGGCAGACTAGTCCTATTAGCCCTCCATACCTGGATGCTCAACTGGCTTAAGCTTAGCCTTTTTAGTAGTTTCCTTCAGTTAACTTTTCTTTTAAGTCCCAATATGATTGTTTCATATAAAACTAGTTGTTACCATTCACTACTCCAGAAAGAAATGTCTTACTGGTAAGATATGATTGGATAAGTTCCAGGATGTTTCTTTATTATCATGATTCATGGTCTATTTTCTTATATTCTACCTGTCCTGTTTAATTTTTAAAGATGAATGT